CTCTCCCTCTCTTTCCCCCTCCCTTGCCCTCCATCTAAAAATAAATATACAAAATCTCTAAAGAAAAAAAAAAAGAAAGAAAAATCTCAAATAAACACCCTAATCCTACATCTATAAGAAGTAGAGGAACATCAATCAAAGCCCAAATAAAGTAGAAGGAAGGAAATAATCAAGATCAAAGCATAATTAAATGGCACAGAAACTAAAAAAGCAATTCAAAGGATCAATGAATCCAGGATATGGTTCTTTGAAAAGATAAACAAAATTGACAAACTTTTAACCAGACTCATTGAGAGAAGGAAAAAAAGAGGGGACCCAAATAAATAATAACGGAAACAAAAGAAGAGAAGTTACAACTGATACCACAAAAACACAAAGGACTATACAAAATGACTATGAACAACTCAACTATAAGCTAACAACCTGGGTGAAATGTACAATTTCTAGAAACATACAATCTTCCAAAACTGAATCAAGAATCAGACAGCTTGAACAGACCAAAACAACTAGTGAAATTGAAGCAATAATAAAAAAACTCCAGGTACAAAAGCTCTGGACCAGATGGCTTCACAAGCTAATTTACCAAACATTTAAAGAACTAACTCCTACCCTTCTCAAACTATTCCAAAAAATTCAAGAGGGAGACTCCCAAACTCTTTTTACGAGGTCGATAGCCAGTATTATCCCAATTCCAAAAATAGGTAAAGACACAGCAAAGAAATACAACTACAGAACATTATCTCTGATGAACATAGATGCTAAAATCCTCAACAAAATACTAGCAATCCAGATCCAGCAATACATTACAAAATCATATACCATGATCAAGTAGGATTCATCCCAGGGATGCAAGGATGGTACAATATTTGCAAATCAATAAATGTAATTTACCACATAAGCAAAATAAAGGGAAAAAATCCTATGATCCTATCAATAGATGCTAAAAAAGCATTTGATAAAATCTAGCACCTATATGTGATAAAAATGCTCAGCCAAGTGGGACTAGAGGGAGCACACCTCAACATAATAAAGGCCATATACAACAAAACTACAGTGAACATCATATTCAATGGGCAAAACCTAAAAGCTGTACCCTTAAGATCACGAACACAAGGATATCTGCTTTAACTACTCTTATTGAACATAGTACTGGAAGTTCTAGCCACAGTGGTTAGACAAGGAAAAGAAACAAAAGGTAACCAAAATGGAAAGACGGAAGTAAAACTGTCATTATTTGCAGATGAGATAATAGTGTACATAGAATACCATATAGTCTCCATCAAAAAACTACTTGACCTAGTAATTGAATTTGGCAAAGTAGTGGGATACAAAGTCAATATTCAGAATTAACATCATCAAAATGTCCACATTACCCGAAGGATCTATAGATTCAATACAATTCCTATTAAAATACCAATGGCGTATTTCACAGGTCTAGAACAAATATTTCAAAGAATTTATGTGAAATTAAAAAAAGAACCCCAAATAGCCTCAGCAATCTTGAGAAAGAAAAACCAAGTAGGAGGGATCACAGTACCTGATAATCAAACTATACTGTAAGGCCACTGTAATCAAAACTGCATGGTTCAGGCATAATAGACACAGTGATCAATGGAACAGAACAGAGAACCCAGAAATAAGTGCATGGCTCTATGGTCAATTAATACTTGACAAATTGGGGATGAGCATACAATAGAGTAAAAATAGCCCTTCAATAAATGGTGTTGGGAGAACTGGACTGGTACATGCAAAAAAAGAAAAGAAAAAGAAAGAAAGAAACTAGACCAGCAACTTACACCATATACCAGAATAAACTCAAAACAGATAAAAGACTTAAATGTAAATTGTGACACTATAATAAAGTCCTAAAGGAAAATATAGGTAGGAAAATTTCAGATATCCCACTTAGTAATATTTTTGCTGATATATCTCCTAAGGTAAGGGAAATAAAGGAGAAAATAAATGGGACCACATCAAATTAAAAAGCTTCTACAAAACTAAAGAAACTGTCACCAAAATGAAAAGGGAACTGGCCATATGAGAGCATATATTTGCCAATGATCCATTGGACAAGGGTTTGATCTCCAAAATATAAAGAGAACTCATACAAGTCTACATCAGAAAGACAAACAATCCAATTAAAAATGGGCAAATGACCTGAACAGACACTTCTCCAAGGAGGACATACAGACGACCCACAGACATATGAAAGGATGACCAACATCACTGGCCATCAGGGAGATGAACATTAAAACCACAATGAGATTATCACCTCGTATCTGTCAGAATGGCTATCATTAATAAATCAATAAACAATAAGTGCTGGTGAGGATGTGGAGAAAAGGGAACCCTAGAGCACTGCTGATGGGAATGCAGACTGGTGTGGCCACTGTAGAAACCAGTATGGAATTTCCTCAAAAAACTAAAAATTGAACTGCCTTTAGACCCAACAATTCCACTGCTGGGGATATATTCTAAGAATCCTAATCACCAATTCAAAAGAACTTAGGCACCCCTATGTTTATAGCAGCATTATTTAAAATAGCCAAGTGCTAGAAAGAGACAAGTGCCCATCAGTAAATGAATGGATCAAAAAAACTGTGGTACATTTATACAATGGAATACTGCACAACAGAAAGAACTTTTCACGACAGCATAGATGGAACTGGAGATTATTATGCTATATGAAATAAGCCAGGTGATGAAGGACATATAGCATTATGATCTCATCTATAAGACAAATCTAATGAACAAAAATAAATAGGCAAAACAGAACCAGAGGCATGGAAACATGGAACAGACTGACAGCAACCAGAGTGGGTGGGGAAGGATAATGGTGGAACGATGGGGAAGGGGTTAGCCAAAGACCATGTATAAATGACCTATGGACATGGACAACAGTGTGAGGACTGACTGTGAGAGTGGGGGGTGGGCTGGGTGGAGGAGAGCAAAGGGCAACAAATTGGGACAACCCTAACAGAGTAACGAAAAAAAAAAAAATTTTTTTTTTTTTAAGAAAAAAGGAAGGTACGCCCTGGCTGGCGTAGCTCAGTGGATTGAGCTCAGGCTGCGAACCAGAGCATTGCAGGTCCAATTCCCAGTCAGGGCACATGCCTGGGTTGCAGGCCACAACCCCCAGCAACAGCACATTCATGTTTCTCTCCCCCCTCCCCTTCCCTCTCTAAGAAATAAATAAATAAAATCTTAAAAAAAAAAAAACAACAGTTCATGGAGCATTGATCTATTAAAAAAAAAAGAAAAAAGAAAAAAGGTACAAAGTAATGTGTATTGAATGTTAGCCATGTGTGAAAAGAATAGATATAAAAAATAATGCTACAGGCCATACAAAGAAGTTGGTCCTTTATACTTCAGTAGGCATGAAGTTTTCCAGTACAGCAATGGCATGTTTAGCATGTGCTTGGGAGATGATTTTGCCTGTACTACTGAGGATTAATTTGGGGGTGGGGAAGTGGTGAGATAGAGGAGAACTGAAACCTGGAGACCACCAAAGAGATTACTGGAAGATCCAGACAAGAGAAAACTCATAAAATAAGAGGAATCAAAAGACTCCTCCCCGACCCCGCCAGGGGACTTGGTAAATCAATGGATACCAGGGGTGGGCGTCCAGAAAGCTACCAAGATCCCTAGCTCAACAACCAGGTGACTCAATTAAGCACATAAAAAAGGCTTCAGAAGGAATAGGTTTGAAAGAGAGAAAAGGCTAAGTTTGGGGTACATGTAACACTTATCGGCCAGTAGTCAAGATACAAATCTAGAGCCTACAAGAACAATCTGAGCTATAGATATAAATTTCAGAGTTACTGAAACACAGGCAGATTTCAAAGCCCTGAAGGTATAAGGAGATCACACAAGAGGAATCTCTAAAATGAGAAAAGTGTCAAGTTTGAAAACCCAATCAACACCAAGTTTAAGAACTTATCCAGGGAATGATTAAGAGGTAAGTGGTAAGAAGACAGGAAGATCAGAGTAACTAAAAGAGAGGTTTCAATAAGTGAGTGGCCAAGTGTCAACTGCTACAAAGAATGTTTGAGGCTTGGAAAAAAAAAAAGCCCCTGGAAATCAGCACATAAGAAATCACTGATAATCTTTTCATAGTAATTACAGTAGTGACCTCAACAGTGGACTTAGCCATAAATGGGAAATAAGAAAGTGTAGATCATTAGCAGGAACAATAGTTAACAATTACTAAGCCCTCACATTGAATGAGGGCATTCTAAGTGCTTCTTATATAGTAACTCACTAGATGCTCTTAAAGCTTCTATGTTTAAAAACCCTCTATTATTTTTCTGGTTTTACAAACAGGAAGCAAAGGCAGAGAAATTAAACAACTTGCCCAAGATCACACACTAGATAACAACGGAGTTGGAACTTTATCCCCAGCAATCTGACTACCACTGCCAAGGTAACAGATTATTCTTTCCAAAATTGGGTAATAAAAGAAAAGAGAAACAAAATGCAATGAGTTGTTACTACATGACAAGTATGTACTGTATCTTGAACTCTGAAACATAGAAAGAGTAGCAGCTTCAAAGACAAGTTATCTTTTGTTGTTTCTTTGATTTTGTATTTGCATTGGAGAAACATGCGAGTATCCTGCAGCATAGAGGAAAAGTACTAGAAAAGGAAAATTAAAGTAGGGTCTCTCAACTTTGGGACTACTGACACTTTGGGCTGGGTAGTTCTTTGTTGTAGAGCTGCACTGTGCACTGTAGAATGTTTAGCAGCGTCCCTGTCATTCATTCATTAGAAGCCAGCAGCACCCTTCCCTTCCTCCTTCTGTGACAACCAAAAATGTCTCCAGTTTTTTTTACCAAATAAAAGGGGGTTAAACTACCCCTGGTTGAAAACCACTCAATTGAGGTAACATGGGATCATAGAGACAGCAGGTGTTGAAGGATGGAATAGGATCAAACAGAAGTGCAAGCTAACATTTGTCCAAAGTGATGACTAACTTTGCTAATGATCAAACACAAAATTACCTTTATGTCTGGATCTGACAGCTGGTTCTTCAACAATTCATAGTCATTTGTTTCACCCTTGACAAGAAAGGGGAAAAATAAGACTTACTTGCTTTGCTTTCCTGTTAAAGATCAACAGCACGACTTTTAATTATATCTTAACATCTGATGAAATTACAAAAGGAACACTACAACTCCTACTGATCAATTGTGGATTATAAAATTGTGACTATAAAAGTTTTAAAATTCATGTTGGTGGAGCTAGGGAGCTTGGAAAAAAATGACAAAAAACCACTTGAATAGGATAGAGATGCATGTTACATATAAAATAATCATTGTATGTCAATTATTCTTCAACTTAAGCAAAACAAATGTCATTCTGATTTTTTCCTCCATTGGTGAGACTTAGTAGAATCACTTTCAAACTAACACAAAAACAAACCAAAACAAATCCCCATTAACCGAGCTGGTTTATTGTCACAAAGTAATGCAACAATAAACCAGCAATTACTAAAGAAAGAAAATGCTATGCCCTGCCTAGTGCAGCTCAGTGGATTAAGCATGGGCGACAAACCAAAGGGTCACCAGTTCAATTTCCAGTCAGGGCACATGCCCGGGTTTCGGGCCAGGTCCCCAGTGGGGGCCACATGAGAGGTAACTGCACATTGATGGTTCTCTCCCTCTCTTTCTCCCTCCCTTCCCCTCTCTAAAAATAAATAAAATCTTAAAAAAAAAGAAGAAAAAGAAAATGCTATGATCTAATCGTTTTTTTACTGTAGCACCTGCTTAAGTTTTTAAAAGATACCATGTAAATAAAGCAGCTGAAGTGAAACCTCAGCAAAAGATTATTACTTTAATTGTGAACTGACAGCATCATACTATTATTAAATATTTGATTTCAAGATGGATATCTAAAATTCATGTTATTATGTTAACTGGTCTTTAGTATAATAGCTGTAATTGTATTCTGACCAATAAAAAACAAACCTCCACATGTCAATAAAGCTGGGGAGGGGGCAGCTGGGAACACCAAACTTGATGTGTTATCTGTTACCTTTTTGTACTTCAACAAGACTTCTCTCACAGTTCCACCAAATCGAACAGTTTTTCTTGGGGGAGAGTTGAAGAAATCATTCTCTAATTCAAGCACATCTGAAATCCTGTACAACCAAGATTATCGAGCCATTAAGTGTATGACAGAGAATTATAAAAATTATACCAACATTTATCGAACCATCATCATTCAGTGCGACAACTGCTAAAGCCTCTTAACTGGACTTCCTGCTCCCACTCTTATCCCCCAATAATCCATTCTTCACTCAAGAGATCTAATGATATTTCAGAAACTAAAAACAAATAATGCTACTTTACCTTCCTGCTTAACCTCTCCAAAGGTTTCCTGCTTCACTCAGAATTCACATCTAAACTCCATACTGAGGTCTTCAAGGTCCTCATTAATCTGGCCCCTGGCTAACACTCTGACCTCATTTCCAACTACCTACTATACTGCAGCCAGTCCTTTCCGTTCTAAAAATTTGCCTAGCTGGTTCCATTTCACTTGCTGTTGTTCCCTCTGTCTCAGCGATTTTCAACAATTTTCATCTCACCACACACATCAATTACTAAAACTCTATGGCACACCACAAAATATACTTTTTGCCGATCTGATTAAAAAAAAAAAAACACAGGTATAATTTTTGATACGTTCACACTAGATGGCTACCACTGTGTCGGCTGTTGGCATTTTTTTTTTTTATTTGACAATCTAATGGAAAGGAGGTCAGTGCTCCTGACTTATTAAATAGCCAGGAATTGCATTTTTTTTTTAACTGATTTGAGAGGGGGGAAGAGAGAGACAGAGGGACAGAGAAACAGGGATTTGTAGTTCCACTTATGTATGCATTCATTGGTTGATTCTTGTTTGTGCCCTGACCAGGGATCGGACCCACAACCTTGGCAGACTGGGAGGGTGCTCTAACCAACTGACCTACCCAGACAAGGGACTACTGCATGTTTTAAAAATTCTTGTAGCACATAATTGAAAATCACTGGCCTTAAATACTCATTCCCAGATCTACATTAAGGTTGCATTCTTGTCTTCATTCAAATTGAGGCTCAAATGTCAGTAAGGTCAGCCCCATCAGAAATCTGAAATACACCACAATTATCACTATCTGAAATCATCTCGTTCCTCTATTTACTGTCTTTCCCTTCCTAGACCGCAAGTTCTGTTGTGAGCAGTGACTTTCTCTCTTTTGATAGACTATTGTCCCCAGTGTCTAACATAGTAGGTAGGCACTTAATAAAGTTAAACCCCAAAGTGTTTTCGGGGGCAAAACACTTTAAAATCTTTAAACAGATTTTTGACTGTTAAACGTGTGTTGAAGCAAATCTCATATAAAAAAAATTAAGATTCAATTTGCCATCAATGACAGCATTGCGCTGATAATCCAAATAGCCTAGGAAACTCTTTCCAAATCCAAACGAAGCAGGAGAGGAGTAAAGGAGCAGAATGCAGTACCCAAGGCTGGAATGCTAGGAGGGAGCCCCGTGGGGCGTACAGGGGACGCTGGAAGAGAAAATAGATTCATTTTTCCAGCCCCACTCTCAACTTTAATATCCACTTAAAGAGCATGGGCTGCCCTCGCTGGTGTGCTCAGTGGATTGAGCCCCGGCCTGCCAACCGAAAGAACGCCGACTGATTCCCCCCAGTCAGGGCACCTGCCTGGGATGCGGGCCAGATGCCGGGTTAGGAGCGTGGAGAGACAATCTATTAATGCTTCTCTCACGAGTCGATGTTTCTCTCCCTCTCTGTCTCCCTCCCTTCCCCTCTCTAAAAATAATAAATAAATAAATAAATAAATAAATAAATAAATAAATAAATAAAATCTTTTAAGAAAAATTTTAAAAAGAAAAAGAGCATAGGCTTACGCTTGAGAAGCGGCGATGATCACGTACCCTCTACCCTCTTCTCCCACCCCACACTATTAGCTCTGTCCCAGGCCCTTTCAAATGCGCTCCCCTACGTCGCTCCTGGGCTTCGGTCCCAGCCACTCAGAAGGAAGCGGGCCGTACTCTTACCCAGGCCTGGCTGCGCCCAGCATCTTCACCGCAGAGGCCGAGGCGGCCGCATCTCCAGGTAACCGCGTGTGAAGCACTGGGGCCGCCATAGAGCCGAACAAATGCGAAGGCTGCGCCTCACGCCGGAAGTAGTGCTCCTTCTAGTACCGCCTTTGTCCCGGAAGCGACCTTCAGCCAATCGGGAACCCCACGTGGGGAGAGCGTTGTGACCCCACGAGCTAGAGCGCCGCCAAAGCTCTGTCCTACCTCGAGCCCCTACCACTTGGAGGACTTTTTCCGCCCAGCGAGGTGAGGGGCCTAGAGCGGCCTAAAGCTCTGGAAGAAGGGAGGTACGTAGGGCCTGCCATGTTTAGCTTTAAGGATCCCAGAGAAAAGTACGGGACACCCGAGGCTAAACGGTAGTTGGGTGCCTCGAATATTAACTTTTTGCAGTCAAAGCATGCCTCTGTCAAACTGAAGAACCTGGTGCCCTGTAGATTAATTCAAACCCTCAGACAGATGAAGTGGGCAGAGGGTTCAAACTAGACAGCTTGCCCCAAGACACTAAGCTCTATATCCACTGCACTAGCCTCAAGGATAATCTTATTCTCACGTAAACAGGTTTCCCAAGCGACTCACCCCAAAACCTGAGTGTGATGATACTGCGATGAGAAATCAAAGAGCGAAAGGAGACAGTTTCCACGGGCGTTAAGCCCTTTAACTTAAAATTTTATTAAAGGAGATACAGGAGCCAGACCTACAAAGCAGCAAAGGACCTTACAAGCATGAAGAATAGCATGAGGCAAAGTATGAAGGATTGGGAGGCAGAGGGAAGGAGTGACAGAACCTCCTCTCCGTCTGCAAGGGAAAATGTTGCAACCTTTGGAAACCCATCAAAAGCACTTTGTATCGGTTGTAGCACCTTGTTAAATATAAAATAATGTTAAAATAAGTAACTGTCTTTTTGCTCTCTCCATTTCGTTTCACTATTGCTTCCCTCACTGCTTTAGGGTTCCTGCAGAATGTTAGGCAGAATCATCAATGACTGAAGAGCAGCGGAAATTGCACCCTAGCTCACAGATGCTACAAGACAGCTGTTTAAGTGGGAATCTCTTCCTCTCCACCCCCAAAGGAAAAAAATTGAATCAGTCTCCTGGCACTCTCATGCAGTGTCAGAAGTATAACTGCACTGTTAAAGCAATTTAATTATTCTTATTTTTAAAATGTTTGATATGTACAAAAGAATGTTAATGTAAATTACAAAACATAATAAAATGAATACCTGTGAATGTACCACCCAATTTATGAAAAAAAATTAACCTGTACTATTGAAACTTACTGTGGGCTCCTCCCAAATTTCACCTTCTCTCTGCTTCCTTCCAAAAGTAATCACTATCCTGATTTTTAAAAATAATCTTCTTGTCTTCATATAATTACCATATATATTCGTAGATAATACACTATTTACTATTCCTTGTCTTTGAACTTGATAGTTATTTCCTTGCTATATTATACTGCTGCTTGTTTGCAATCAACTTTGTTTCTAGACTCCATCCGTTATATGTAGTTGTATTTTCTCTGCCATATAGCATTCCATTGTATGAATACACCATGATTTATATTCTCCATTTTCCTATCACCAACATTTAGAGTGTTTCCTTTCTCCATCCCCACACTCATTATGTAATTTCTATGACTATTCTTGTATATTCTGTACCCTGCGTGTGAGAATTGTTTTTATGGTAGAATTGTTGGTTTGAAGGATACAACAGTCAAAGAACTTTCTAAAGTTGTGCCATTATACACTTATAGTAGTGTCTTCTCCTTAAGCTTAAGCACAGATCCTTCCTTATTTTTCCAAAGCTTAAGATAAGGTTGCCAAGTTTGAAAATTTTATCAATGGAAGTCCGATTTGCAAGAAAAATCTTAAAACTAAATAGCATAATTCAGTGTTGGAAATCTTTGGTCATATCCCTTCACTGGGGATCCTTTCCCCAGTTACCCAGGGCCAACTCACCACACCAGGAAAAAAGCCTTCTTTATCAGTCTTGTCTTCCAGATCAAATCAAAGAAAATAAAGACCCCAGACACACTCCAAAAAACAAAACAACAAAACAAACAGCATGCTGCTTACAAAGATGAAGCCTTGCCCACAATGTAGTCATCCTTTTTACCTCACTGCATTACAGTTGTTCATAATTGTTCTGAGCTTCTTCATTCCAGGATGAATTTTTGCTTTATTTTCATATACCCAGAAGACCTATTAAACTGTTTTTTCAAAAAAGCACCCTTCCCCTAGAGATAAATTTTACAGTCATCCCTAGAGTAGTTCTGCAGGTTAAAACCTCTTGGCTTGAAAGTAACAGAAACCATTTCAAGCTAGCCTAAGGAGAATCTAAGGACACAAGGGTAACTTAAGGCATCAGAAAAGAATCCATCATTGCCCAAGTTTGGATCAGGTACCCTTCTGAAACTCAGTCTAGAGAGATGAGGCCATGTTGTAGAAAATGGCTTCCAATGAATCTTTGCTGTGGATGCGAGAGGGTCACTATAAATGCTCAACAAATGTTTTTTAAATGCTTGAATGTTGGGAAGAGCCAGAGCAACTGGCTAATTTCTAAATAGCAAAACCAAAAGTAGATATCCCATTTGTTCCTTTCCTCTTTCCAAGGAGTCAATAATTATGAGTCAACTATCTTTATAAAAACTCTACTCATTAGTGAAAGATCTCATTAAAGATGTATATATACACATCATATATGTTTGTGTGTATGTGTACAGACCATTAATTTAGAGCCTTCCTTTCCAAGTATTACAGAGCAGTATAAAGCAGTTTCCCTACCTTGATAGTATTGACATTTGGGGCCAGATAATGTTTTTTGAAGGGGGCAGGCTGTCCTGTGTATTGTAAAATGTTTAGCAGCATCTCTGGCCTCTGCCCAGTAGATGACAGCAACGTTCCCCTTCTCCCTATTGTGACAAACAAAAATGTCTCTAAATGCCAAATGGCCCCTGGGTGGTAATACTGATCAATTTAAAAACCACTGGTAAAGAACATGGCCTTAGTAAACTTTTAGTACAATTAAAGACACAAAACATTTTTGAAACAATTAGAGAACAAAAACTAAAACAATACACAAGATTATATTGCAAATGATCATAACATTTCAATTTTCATTTAATAATCTTGGGGTAACATAGAAAAAATCATTTACCATTTTATTCTGTTGGAAAATAACAGTGGTCATATACAAGAGCCTCATGGTGTTTAATGCTATTTGGAATGTTGTTCAGATTTTTACCAGAAGGATGCTACAGATAAAAATACCTTAATTTCCCTCCACAATTTCTCAGATAGCAACTGTATCTGACTGAAGTTGTGAATCAGTAACATATTTCATATTGTTTTATTGGGACAATTTCAGAAATTAGCTTTATCTGTCTAATTGGCTTTGGTTTGTAAGGACCACCTAACCTTAGCTTTATCTGTTCCTACAGGCTTTCAATCTAATAATGCACATCTACATTAATCTATTCAACAAATATCTATTGAACACCTAGGTATCAGGCCCTGTGCTATGCATTTGGGGATATGTGGTGAGCAAATACTACTAACAGTTCTTCCCCTCATGGAGTTCACCATCTAATGAGAGAAAGAGACATTGATCAAATGTGAATTTAACAAATGTATTAAGCCCTTAATACATTTGGTGCTATGTGGTTCTACAATGGACAGAAGTTACCTCTTCAGGGAGCTCAGGGAAGTTTCCCTAAGAAAGTGAAAAATTGAGTTGAAATCTAAGAATCACTAAGGGTGAAGGGATGAGGCTAAGGAATGGTTGGTGGCTGAGATGAAGAGGATCATTTGAGAAAACAGCTAAAATAGGAACCCTCAACTAAATAAATGATCGGGAATTCATTTGTAAGGACAATATTCCTTGTCCTTCTTTACAGTCAAATTATATTAGTCCCTTCGCAGAGCAAGACAAAAAGATACAGCAATCTAAACTGAATGGATGTTAAGTTTTAGAAGTATTATTTAACAGAAATTTACCATGTATAATCTGATAATGGTACTGGAAAGTTTTGTCCATATGAAACCATTTAACTAAAAACTTAGTTCTATAGCAGAGGATAAAGAACACCCTAAAACTGTATTTAATTGAATGACCCACTAAAATAATATGGCAAATACATAGTGTATGATATAAATGCATGTTAAGGAAAAAGAATGGCAGAGTAGAAAGATCATTAAGCTCTAAAGCAGTGCCCTGCCAGTGTAGCTCAGTTGGTTGGAGCATCCTCCTGTAGACCAAAAGATCACAGGTTCTAATTCCCAGTCAGGGCACATACCCAGATTGTGTGTTTGATCCCTGGTTGTGACATGTACAAGAAGTCAACCAATTAATGCTTCTCTCTCCCTCTCTCTCTCTCTCTCTCTCTCTCTCTCTCTCTGAAAGCAATGAAAAAATATCCTCAGGTGAGAATAAAAATATAAATGAATAAATAAATAAACTCTAGAGCAGTATGCCTTGACCTAGCTTAGAAGGTTGAACTAGTAGCTCACCAATTTCTGACCAACTCAGAAACAAGAACCAGAAAAATATTATTTCTCAGGCTGATCCAACCAGACTACTGCTGAAATAAGTCCTTAAGCCCATTTCTACTTTTCCAAAAGTACTACATCACTTTGTTAATCACAACTAATGACCCCCATGCCATTTTGTCCCACAGTCAATCTATGAGAGAACATAAGATGATGAGGAATTTACACTGGATTTGTGAACTGTAGTGTTGGAAGCATTAGTTATACCACATGCAATCTATAATTGAACCCAGAGAAAGGATGACTTATGCAGAGAATCATTTTTGTGTTCCATGTAGTGCCTAGCATTTAGTATGAGCTAAATTTAAAAATATATCAATGTAATCACTCTTTAATAACTCAGTTTTAGAAGTCTTGAGTAAGACCAAAGGTGAAAATGAGACTCTTTGAATGCTGTTATTATAAAGCTAAGTCCAAAATACTTCAGTGTATTTTTTAAATTGATTTGAGAGTGAGAGAGGGTAAGGGAGAGTGAATCACTGATTTGCTGTTCCACTTATTTTTGCATGTATTGGTTGATTCTTGTATGTGCCCTGACAAGGGATAAAACCCACAACCTTAACTTGTCAGGTTGATGCTGTAACTAAATGAGCTACCCAGCCAGGGCTTACTTCAATGTGTTTTATATGTCCTGTGAGAGAAACAAGAGAGAGAAGATTCCAGCCTTTGAGGAGCTTACAAATCTGTAAAGTAAGATTTCACTGCACATGAACAACTTTAGAGAAACTTTAAAAGAGAGCATGAAAACAAAGGTACAGAACAAGATGTACAGTATCCTGCTATTTACATTTTCTTAAGAAAGCACACACACATATGTATGTATGTTGGGTTTCACAATCTCTCAATAGGTACATCAGACACTAATAGCAACGATTGGGAAAGGGCCGTGGAAGACTGAGGGATCAGGGATTGGAGGAAGACTTACTTTTCACTATATAGCCTTTAGCACTATTTCACTTAAAAAAAAAACTATGTTCATGTACTGCCTTTAAAAAATTAAAATCATCTGGTAGTAAGGGAAATGTAAAATGCTTCACCATCTTCTCTGAACTCAAATTCAAACCTCTAAGATGTTATTATTTTATTGAGGCAATCTACAATGCAGTGAAAGGATAATTATACTGGTTTATTGGAAAGAGAATGCAAACGCAGGGCCACTAACCAGCTACGCAATTTTAAGTAATTGACTTATGATTTTTGTTAGCTTTGGAGGAGAGAGGGAAGGGGCTAGACTAAATGACCTTTGGGATTCTCAAAGTCAATGGGCAATCATTAGTAGCTGATTGGTTCATAACCATTTATTAGGTCCAAATTTATTATTGCTTAGAAACATTTATTAAAAAAACATTTATTAGGTTACAAACAACCAAAATGCCCATCAATAAGAAACAAGTTAAATTAATTATGATGCAACCACTGAATGGAATATCATGTGTCCGTATGATCTTTGACATATGTTAAGTGAAAAAAACAAGATGCTGAGCAGTATGTAAAAAACACAGAAATATGTAAGTACTTCATATATAAAATTAATAATGTATAATGAATATATTATATAAATAAAAGGATTTATAAGAAACTAAGAACATTATTTGTCTATCAGTTGCACTGTGCCAAAGATTGTAATGAAACTTCAGTATGTGCCATATATGCTCCTAAAATTTTGTAATATGGAAACATATTACCTAGCCAAAGATTTAAAATTTAAAGATCTGTCCATCCTATAAAAACAATTCTGTTTTTAAAAAAGATTTTATTTATTTATTTTAGAAAGAGGGGAAGGGAGGGAGAAAGAGAGGGAGAGAAACATCAATGTGTGGTTGCCTCTCACATGGCCCCCAATAGGGACCTGGCCCACAACCCAGGCATGTGCCCTGACTGGGAATCAAACTGGCAGCCCTTTGGTTCACAGCCCATGCTCAATCCACTGAGCTACACCAGTCAGGGCCAAACAATTTTTTTTAAATGTGATAAAAACAAACCAGGAAAGTTTAGTGTTTTAAAAATACATAAACATCTATGTTCATTAAGATGATTAAAGTTGTTTCTATTTATCTTTCAAGGGGACTATCTTCTCTTCTAGGCCCTATTGGTAGCACCTGAAATTCACTAATCACAGTTCTTAAGAACCATCTCTATTTACACAAAATCCAATCATATCAGTATTGATCAGCCATTGAAAGATTAAAGGCTTTTCTGCAAACTCAAGGGATGAATATACACACTTCTCTACAATGTTCTTTGCACTCAACTGTTGCATATATTTATTTCTTAAAAAGAAATTTATACGTGTCATGTGTTTATACATTGCTGGTTTAATCAAACTATTCTTTTTTTGTAATTGTGGTAAAATACACAGCAAATTTAGCATCTTATTCATTTTTAAGTGTACAAAGTAATGTGTTAAGTACATTCATATTTTTGTGCAACCCACCTCCAGAACTCTTTTCACCTGAAATTATACCTTTTAAATAACTCTCCATTGTATACTTTCCCCAGCCCCTAGCAACCAGCATTCTACTTTCTGTCTCTATGGATTTGATTTTCTAGAAATCTCACATAAGTGGAATCATACAGTATTTCCTGTTTCACTTAGGAGAATGTCCTTCCAATTATTCTTTTGTCCAAGCATCTGTAATGCATAAAGTCTTCCAGCTTGAGTTAATTTGTAATTTGTTAAAATTACAAATAGAAAATACTGACACAGAGCACAGAAAATAGGGAGAAATGTAAAAACAGCTAAAAATTTTGCAAGTTTTGATCCAAAGTATTGTACCACCTAAAAAATGTAGGGGTTTTTTTTTGCCTATAACTAGAAATTTCAAAAGGAAACTATTTCTGTATCAGAGCATTCTTACATAAACAATCACTGATAAAGACATTGAACTGATAAAGTCAAAGAGCATAAAAGGTGAGCAGTCCCATATGAATTCTATTTTATCATACATATGCAATCAAATCAGATTTTAAATCCTTAGGAAAAAGGGAAATTCAGATGCTACTTAAATCAAATCAACATATAAATATAAATTGTAGCATAACACATTGATTGTATTAACCTTTCTTTTTTAAGATTTTATTTATTTATTTTTAGAGAGAGGGGAAGGGAGGGAAAAAGACAGGAAGAGAAACATCAGTGTGTGGCTGCCCCTCGTGCACCCCCAACTGGGGACCTGGCCTACAACCCAGGCACATGCCCTGACTGGGCATCTAACTGGTGACCCTTTAGTTCACAGGCTGCCACTTAATCCACTGAGCCACACCAGTCAGGGCTGTATTAACCTTTCTGATAGCTAATGAGGTCACAAAGTATCCTTAAAATCAATCAGCTGAATTTTCAATGTCATTCTGTAGGAATTGTACCACCCAGAGTACGTGAGACATTATTTTCCATTTGGAATGTTGGAATGCTTTCACAAGAGAAGTATATTAAAAAAAAACACAACTTATTTTATAGCAAAGTTCAGTTGGTATGGCATAATTTATTATGGCTTAAAGTTCTGGCAATAAATAACTTTATTATCTGAAGCTGGAAAACTCTCCCTAGCCCTGAAACATGTATACTTGGCAAAGGCAGTCTAGCAAGTCTGCTGGTCTGAGGTTTCCAAAATGAGACTAGTGTAAGTATTTGTGCTTTTATAAAGTTGACACTTAAATTTATAGAAACATTGATGAGTTCTGGAAAGAAAAAAAAACAATTTTTATTTGAGATGACACAAACAGACTGGAACAAAAAAAATTAGAGTTGTCGATTTTTATTTCTCTCTCTCTGGAAGTAAGGCATTAAATAGAGAAAAGTAACCCATTGACTAATCTAGGGCATTACAACTCAAGTTACAATTAATGAGCTTAAGGAAAAGGCTCATTAATAACTTTAACTTGGAAGGAAAGGTTGTAACATAGACCTTACAACATGAGACTCAAAGTCCAAGTTTGGGCATAAGTTTCCACCCCTGCTACTCCCAGAGCACTCAGAGCCCACCTGTCTGGCCAGCAGACTGCTCAGGGCCAGAGTATCACCAGCTACACATTGTAGGCTCCACTGATGGCAAGTGCCAGGCACCAAACAATGAAATCTCAATCTGAGAATCAAGAGACTTGGCAAATCACCTGTCCTCAGACCAGCAGACCAAGATGAGATGGCCAGGTTCTCTGAGAACAGAGAACAGCACCCTCAGGTCTGGGTGTCACTAGGGTAGAGTGAAATACACTGCGTAGGCTGCAGGCCTCACAGGCAGGCCCCTCCTCCCTTTCCCACAAGCCAGCTGTTCTTAGTCAGGTGCATGGATTCAGCTGATTCAGTCAAAGTAACTGTGCCCTGGGCAAATAGGGGGAGCAGGAGTTTTCTTTCTTGTTATAGAAGCAGCTACATACTATCCTTGATTTTGCTTTTTGACACTTAGAGCCTAAAATGTTTACTATCTGGGATGAAATAGAAAATTTGTCAAAGCCTGTTTCATTTATTTTTTAAAGTTATAATAGACATGTATTTAAGCAATATATTTGCAGCCCAGGTGGTTCTAAATTGTACATTTCAGGTTTAACCAACATCATTAAAATACTGAGGGCAGATACTCCACAGATTTTGATTACATGATTATTTCTTTGCCCATAAATTCTTTTCTTTCTTTCCTTTCCTGAATAACCTCTTTCAGATATGGTTCAAGGTAGAATTTATCCTCCTCAGATTTTGTTCACTACTCTTTAGGCAAAATCTGCTGCCTCGTGGAGAGGTCCAGGGCTTTCTTAATGCAAAACATCCTGTCTTTATACAGATTATCAGGAAGCCTTCTTATGGATTCTTTCACATCGTCATCCACATGTATTGTACCTTTTCCCATTACCCTCAGTTTATTGAATCCTGCAATGTTGTAATACCATTTTAGAATCCCCTCTAGCCACAGGGTTGATGCTGTAACAGCAAGCGGGCTCTCCATCTGCCCAGGACTGAAGCATTCCTACTGGGTAAGTCTAAGGGGCCCTCAACCCCTGTTTTAGGTAAATATTTATCTTACAATCATATAGAGAAATATCTCATAACATTTGATGTTTACTCTACCTGATGTCATCTTTGCAGCAAAAAAAAGTTCTGTACAAGTAAATAAACACCTGAAAGTGTTTTCCCAGATGAATACCCACGGAGCCTACGCTTAGTTTAAAAACTGTTGTTAATATCTAAAAGGTCTGTTTTCAGCTTAGAACTGGGAGAGACCTTGGCATTTGTTCTCTAATTATTGGCCTATTGTCATTACGTACTTCATAACAGAGCCCACAGGTAGAATTAAAAACACAAAATACCCTGCTTAAAAAAGCCTTCAAAGATTGGTCTCAGTTGGTACCCCTTGCCCTTTCTCTTTCTCTGTCTCTCTCTCCCCCTCTCTCCAACCTTGAGTCTCAAGCATTCCTGCATACAGAAAAGATAGAAAAGACTATCTTTTCCCAAATGCGTCCCCAACAAGCCATGGACTATTACACCCCTGTGCCTTTCTGCTGATGCTTTTTGCTTTGCATAGAATGTTCTTCCCATCTTCTTCACCCAGTGAACAACTACTTTAGGATCCAACTCAAAAATCTCTCACCCATCATACAGCTATATTCTGAAAGAACTTTGACTAGACTTGTTATGTTACACTGTACCAGTTATCCCTATGTCTCTCTCCCTTGATAAACAGCTCTTGGAGAGCAGAGACATGCCATTTAGCTCTGAATCCCCAGTGCCTAAGGTACTGCCTGGCACTTGATAGCTATTCAATAAATGTCTGATCAATTAATTATTTAAAGAGCATTGCATGGTTCTTCCTATCAAAATAATTCTTCTACTAAAAATTAGGCAGGCATCAGCCTCCTCCTTCTTTTTGTCTAAAATTATCTCCTCTTTAGAGCCATTCATTTGTTGCACATTGCTGTTTCTCTCCCTTTCTCCCTCCCTTCCCTTCTCTCTAAAAAAGTAAATTAAAAAAAAGCCATTCCTTTGAGTTAAAGAACCAAGTCTATTCATTTTCTGATGGCAAGATCTACAGTCTAATTATTTCAATCATATATTTCACCTGAAAGAATAGAATTAATGGGAAAAATTAATAATCTCATTCACTAATACTAAATCCTTTCCTTCTGGAATTATTTTGGCTTGCTAGTGTTTTGCTCCTTTTGTGTGTGTGTGTGTGTTTTAATAGAAATAAACCACCACCTTCCTTTCAGGTAGAACTGCCATCTTCCACTAAGTAGCCAAAATGACTAACACAAAGGGAAAGAGAAGAGACACCTGCTATGTATTCTCTGGGCCTTTTAGAATACAGAACTGTTCCTTTGGCCACATACATGAGAATCTCCAGGAAAGGTGATATTGTAGACATAAGGGAACAGGGCACTGTCCAAAAAGGAATGCCCCACAAATGTTACTATGACAAAACTAGAAGAGGCTACAATGTCACTAAGCATACAGTAGGCATTGTTGTAAACAAGGGAAAGATTCTTGCCAAGACAATTAATGTACATATTAAGCATATCAAGCACTCTAAGAGCTAAGATAACTTCCTGTAATATGTGAAGGAAATTATCAGAAAAAGAAGGAAGCCAAAGAGAAAAATACCTGGGTTCAACTCAAGCGCCAGCCTGCTCCATCCAGAGGATACTTTGTAAGAACAAATGGTAAGGAGCCTGAACTGCTGGGACACACTCACTATGAATTCATGGCATAAGTGTAAAAAAAAATCTCTGTACTGTTAAAAAATAATCACTGAATGTATTTCATTTCAGAATCTCAGTGTCCAAAGTGTACAAAACCAAAGGCATCAAAATGCTTTGCCCATATAGATTTTTGTGACATGTGTGTGTACATATATATACACACATACCTAGAGAGAGTGTATATAAAGTCTCTTAAAGAATTGAAGAAAACTGTAAGGAAATTAAGAGTTTGACTTCTACTTTATATTCAGTTGTATTCCATAATGAAAATGAAACCAACCAATATGAAACCCATATGAAATCAAGATGAACACCTTCTTAGTATTTTTGAGCAATGAAGAGTATTAAGAATCTCTGCCCTGGCTGGCGGAGCTCAGTGGATTGAGCGCGGGCTGCGAACCAAAGGTTCGATTCCCAGTCAGGTCACATGCCTGGGTTGCAGGTCACGGCCCCCAGCAACCGCACATTGATGTTTCTCTCCCTCTCTCTCTTTCTCCCTCACTTCCCTCTCTAAAAAATAAATAAATAAAATCTTAAAAAAAATCTCCAAAGTATTGCTCTGCCCCATATCCTTCCCCCCAATGCCCAAAGAGCAGGCAACTTATAGAACAGAAGTAGGAAGACCAGGAAGTTGATACTCAACAATGTACACTATTATGACAGCATATAACCCACCGAGAAGCAGGGTCTCCAATTTTGACAGCCACATGGTCTTTTCTACCTTTCTTATTGTCAAGAAGTTGGAAAGTTAAACAGAATTCATCTTCAATAGCCTTAACCATAAAGTTCATCAAACAGGTTAGCACAAAGGGTCTTGTGATTATTAGAAAGCACAAGTGATTTAGTACAAATAAGAAAATGTCCAAACTTCAAAATTGTTTTGATTCATTTATACAATAAATTTTACCTTTAAGTTGACTCAAGTGTTTTTTTTACTTAAATAAATGTATTTCAAAAAGCAACCAACACCACTGTAAACAGAAAAACCAGTGTTGCTTGGCATAAATAAAGGTTATCCACTGAAATGACTCTGTTAACATAAATGGTATTAAATCCTAGCTGGGGACACTGGCACTTGTTACCTATCAAAACATTAGAGGTATTAGAAATCACTGACCCCCAAACTAAGGACATTCTCTTTGACATAATCAATCACAAAGATTGAGGAAGAACTGAAAAGAGAATAACTTTCCCACAGGAGAGCTCATTGCTATTTAATGCTGAGTCCCTGTACCACCTAAAATCATCTTGTTTCAAAAACACTGCAGTCCCCCTCCCTTCTCATATCTTAGAGCTCCAAGAAGAAATGTAATTTCACTCTCTCCTAACTGGGCTGAAATAAAAGAAAGTGATCACACTAATATCTGGTAGATTAGGTAAAACCTTATAAAGCTCAGGGAACTGGGTTTCAAAAACCTACCGAAGTTCCAAAAATCTAATTCCTGAGGGAAAAAGCCACTTCACCTCCACTAACTTAATTCTGTTGAACAGAAGGGGTTGAGGAAATGGCTAGAACATATACCTGGAAATGATCAAGAAATAATGTAGATGAAGATTCCCCCCAAGACAGTTACTTGGCAGAGGCCTGAGCATCTGGTTCTGTATTAAGGTGACAATTCTCAGGTGTTGGGCAGTGCGCACTTTCATCAGGCATTGACTGCTGGGCCTCAGTAGCTACAGCCAAGGATGTGGGGAGCTGGGACACAGGGTCGGGGACTTCCTGACTTAGCTCCTGGCCAGCTGGGGGCTCCTGGGCATGTGAACACTGGCTGAGAGCAATCTCTTGAACTAAAGCACTGTTCTTGGGGGCGTGTTGGGTGTCATGCAGGGTGTCTTGAACAGCCAGAGTGACCTGCAGGTCCACAGACTGGTTCTGAAAAAATGGGGCTGGCAGAAGCTGGATGGGGAAGACCTGGGTAGCCAGAGCCTGGGCTTGGTCAGCCTGAACAGCTGGAGGCTGAGTTTGAGAGGTGGGAGAAAGATTCTGGAAATCGCTCTCTGAGGCCATGGGGACCTGGAAATGGCTCTGTGCAGCCACAGACACCAGGGGGTAGATCTGAGAGGCCATAGGTGCTAGGCTGTGGTTCTGCGAGGCCACAGGCACCAGGGGGAGGCTCTGTGAAACCACGGGGGCTGCAGTCTGGATCTCAGAGGCTAAGGTGTCCACAGGCTGCCCTTGAAAGGACAAGGGGACAGCAGGCAGGCTTGTAGAGGCACGAGGGATTGGAGGCTGGCTCACAGAGGCCAATGAAACTATAGATAGGCTCTTAGAATAAAGAATAGCTGGAGGCTGACTGGTCGAGAACAAGGGGACCACAGGCGGGCTCTCAAAGGCAAGAATGGTGGGTGGCAGAGGCCGGTCCAGGGGGGATGGAGTGAACTCTGGCTGCATCACGGGGGTTACTGGTCGTCCAGCCTCGGGGCCCAGAGGACCAGCATCAGGGCCTGGGGCACAAACTCCTTCTGAACTTTTGGCTTCTTCCTGTTCCGGACCCAGATCCTCTCTGCCAAAGCCTTCAGCATCGCCATTCTCCTCGACATTTCTCACTCCGCCTTTGTCCTGGTCCTCCTTTGCTAGCTGTTTTTCTGCTCGGCCTGTGAGGGTCGCATTCAGAAAACAAGGGATCCTTTGGAGGAGCCTCCTGCGGCGCCGTCCCGCCCGGAGCTGCCCCAAGGTGGCGGAAAAGGTGCGGATGGTGAAAGAGAAGCTGGGGGTGCCAGCCTGGTTTAGCGCGTTCACCACGATGGCGGAGGGTACGTGGTAGAGCCTCTCCAAGGCCTCGTCAGGAATCAATTCGATGTTGCCTGCGTACCAGAAGACCCACCAGAGGAGGCTGAAGAAGATGATGACGGAACCCAGGTAGAGCAGCAGGTCGTAGAAGAACAGGTCGGTGAAGACCCCAGTGAACAGTACCGTCGCGCCCACCGTGTCGAAGACGACGCCCAGCCAAAAGAAATGCCGGCAACGGCCCAGGCCTGTCCGCTTCCTGGTCTCCACGATGGACTTTCTTGAGACTCCATGACCTCCCACTGTCGCCGGCGCCAGGTCTGCAGAGGCTACCGGCTGCAAAGCGCAGCCGAAGGCAGAACGTGGCCGTCGAATCCCCAGGGCAACGGCGGCGGACGCGTGAGCCTCGTAGGGGGCGGGGCCAGAGAGAGGGAAAGCCGGGCAGCCTTTCGCCCGCCTCGAGGAAAAAGGGTGCCGCCCTGAAGCGGGACGCCGCGAGGTACGGCCCCTCGCGCGCGGCCG